GTTGTGCAAATATTCGAATGCGTCGAACGAATGGTAGACTATTCGAATTCGCTTCGGTTCAAATTTAAATTATTGAAAATTTTGAAGTATCCGCAATGAACGAATAGGTGTATATTGGAACGCTTGCTACTACCTGTAAAGGTGGTTTCACTGTATTGTAGGGCTGCAAAGCCGTAAAAGCACCTATCCAGAGAAAATCCGCCCTGCCGTAAAGCCCCTTTAGAGTTTAAAGGAGCCCGACAACACTGTTTGAGCATGATCAGAAAGCGCTGCTAATCAGTGATTGATTTGCGGGGTTTAACGTCCCAAAACCACCATTTGATTATGAGAGACGCCGTAGTGGAGGGCTCCGGAAATTTTGACCACCTGGGGTTCTTTAACGTGCACCCAAATCTGAGTACACGGGGCTGCTAATCAGTAGTTGAAGCAACGTTTTTAAATGCTGTCAGTTGAAAAAGTTCACTCTGGAGGTGGCAACAACTCTTATCTGCTTCGAGGGTTGGCACTGGCATATTGTTGAGATTAAGCCACCGCCGGCTTCCCGCAGCAGCGTTGAATGTTTTTGTTTGTCTTCGCTTGCTCGGACCACAACAGCTAGAGCTTGAAGGCTGGTTTTCGGTTATTGCTAACTGTATTTCCCATTTCACAAGACAATCAATCATGCGTGAGTGAATTAGCGGTTTAAAATACTAAACATGCCGACCTGCAGCGCGTCGGGCTGTCTAAGTGGTTATGCCTCTGAGAACTTGCGACCGGCGGCACTTCTTCGAACCCCCAGAGAGCCTGGAGAACTGCTGGTTAAGAACTGCTGGTTAATACCAGCAGTTCTCAAGGCCTGGACAGCTGCTATTCCACGAAAAACCTTCCAGGTGGCAGTCAAGACCTACATTTTCGACCTGCATTTTGATTCAGAGGACCTAATCACTTGCTACGAACGAGGCATCGTAGGCAGAAACGTCAAAATTCCATGTGGTCGGTGAACACTTAAGCCCGGTTCTGTTCCTCTAATATTCCCAAACATTCCTGCACATTTGTCTAAACCAGCGGTGTGTAAACGAAAACCACCGAAACTTAAGAGAAACCGCCAATTTCAAGGGCTGTGTGCTGGCAAGTGGTGGTGGTGGTGATGTCCGACGTTAACATGGAGAACAGCGATCTTGATGAGGCCACTAGCGTTCCCTTCTCCAGAGTTGAGTACAGAGGTAGAAACTTGGTTTCCTGCATTACAAGACCGAACAAAGTTCCAATCCTAGAATGCCAAGCTTATCCAGGAAGAAGTTTTCTTTTTTAAACTCTCTCTTCGTTGAAAGCTTCAAAGACAGTCACCAGAGTGTATAGCATTAGAAAACTGAGTGGCTGCTTACTTGTCTGCTCCTTAAAATATCGAGCCCTGCTGCTTATAGGCTGATGTCAAAGGTGAACATACTGCCTTGCCGACATCTTCACGCCTTAAATTATCAACGCAATGCCTTGCGAATTTGGGTTCAAGGTTTCGCTCAGTAGTATCGGTGGTTGTGCTGGAGGAAGGCCTGTCACGAGTTTTTGCACTTGACTTGTAGAACCTTTCAGAAGCAGTCTTTTCATTTTCTGATTGTTGTTCTTCGCCTTCTCTAAAAAAAGTGCTGCCCTAATGACCGCCTTTGTTAGTTTTTTGGTAGTCTAGCATAATTTTTGGTGAAGCCTCGTTGGTTTCATAGATTTCTCCTTTTTTCTTTTACCGTGCTTGCTGATAATTACTTGTGCCCGGGACAGCCCGAAAGAGCTCCTCCACACGTCCGGGATCTTCAGGGCTGACGTTCCGGTCGAAATGGAAGGGAATAGGCTGCTATAACAGCCCATGCATATCTTTAGGTGATCAACATAACCGAGGAAAGCTGATACCATCTGCAAGCTTGGGTGAGTTTCTGCTGGCTTCCCAAACCATGTTTGCTGTATGCGCCCGGGGGAACAAACTTCCCTCAAGCTTTCCCCTAGAACTGAGGACAAAGGAGAAGTCTTTTGTTACCACCACTGCCTTGTCGATTTCGACGATACCTTTGTTTTGAACAACTTTGAAAAACAAAAAAAGAACTTGCTCCTGGATAAGCTGGACATTCCTGGATTAGAACTTTCTTCGGTTTTGTACTGCAGGCAACCAAGTTGCTACCTCTGGACATAACTCTGGATTGGAGGGGACGCCAGTAGCTTTGTCAACATTGCTGTACTCCACGTTAACGTCAGACCCATCGCCACTGATTGCCGACACACGGCCCTGGAAACTTGCAGTTTCTTCTAGTTTTGGGGGTTCCCTTTTGCGCTTTAATGCTGCTGATTTAGACAAGTGTGCAGGAATATTCAGAGAAATTCAAGGAACAGCACCGGGCTGAAGTGCCAATCTACCACGTGAAATTTTGACATTTCCGTCTACTATGTGCTCGCAGCAAGGGTCCATCCTCGGAATCGAAATGTAGGTCTTGACTGTCACCTAAAAGGCTTCTCGTGGAATAGCATCTGTCCAGGCCATGAGAACTGCAGGGTTATTTGGAATTTGAAGAAGTGCCGCCGATCGCAAGTGTTTTTGTCGGAGGCATAGCTACTTCGACAGCCCGGCACGCTACACGTTAGCATGTTTACTATCCTACTGCTAATTCACTCAAGCTTGCTTGATCGTCGTGTCACGTGTGAAATACAAATGGCAAAAAAGCTTTTCCAAATAAATGTTATTTAAATACAGGCTGTACGTTATGTATTGCTCTGTTTTCTATTTTTTTTTATTCCCCATCACATTGAAAGCCCTTCTCCCTACTCCTCGGGTAATTTCAGCTACAATCCATGGAGTTTGTGTATGAAATCCATCTTCACATAAAAATTATACAACTTACATCAACTGTGCTAGCTGTGAGGCTTTGCAAGGAGACCAATACAAAGCACGGAAGGATTGTGGCGCTAATTCGTGCAAGACTGCCCGTGTAGCCTGTCTATATTCCCTTAGCTGTTCAAAAAGAAGCACTACCATTTCTAGATGTACTATTACAAGCTATATACGATGTGTAATTACAACAGGCTCGTTTGCTTAGAATCGTCTACAACCTAAAGGCACAGGTAGACGCTACTTATTACAGAGGCACAGGCAGAATTTTTGTTGCGTAGTAGGGGCACTACCTTAACGTGAAGAGGGTGCAGGACGGACAAGTGTGGTCGAGTGTCACTTTTTGCTCTGTCTGTTAACAATTGTGGGAAAGATTTTTTTTTCGTGAGGCAATGTGCCTCTTTAGTGAATCCATTCCATGGCTACTTGAAGTGCTGCAGGGCCCCTTTGAATGAACATATTACCCTCAAATCAATCCATTTTATTAAGCTTAGAAGCTTGTTACGACGGCCTACATGCTTTAACTACAACAAACTTTAAAAAGTCATTTATTTTACAGGTCATCACTCGCATCCTACTCAAACTCAAATCTTGCTGTTACTCAAAGTGGTTTAGACTTCCTTTGAAAGAAAGAAAAAACATCTGCATAGAGGTTCTATTTTAAATTAAAAAAATATTGGGCTGGTTAGTTAGGTCATGATAAATATACCTATTTTCTTTATATGTCATTATACTATTTGCTTTGAGCCTAACATTCACTATTTGTACAAGCTTAATATTCATGTACAAGTTGCCTCAAGTAATCTAGCCAGAATTTAAATATGTGCTAAAACTTTTAATGATACACGGCGAAATGAATGTTGCTGGATGCTGCATAAAGTAGGTCTGCCACTTTTGGCGTTCTGATTGATTGTTCAATTTGGCAAGTTAAATTAACTTCTAAAGCAACAAAGCTGGGCAAAATATAGATTGGTTTGAAAACGCCCGATTAAACAGTTTCTATCTGCTCGTCTATCAAGTATTAGTGCTTTCCTGTTCACTGCAAATGCAAAAAAATTAATAAATGGGGGGGGGACTGGGGGTGAAAGACTTGAGCATTAAGATTGCAGTGCTCCTTAATGTTCTGTGTAGAGCTATGCTTTTCTCATGGCAGTTTATCACAGTGATAAGCAGATGCAGTGGTTATTCATAGGTAGCTGCAAGCAAGAGGTCAGTCACCCACAGCCACCACCTTCATCTCTGTTCTGTCTCTTTTTAAGGCCTAATGCTACAGTTGTGGGCAAGTACAATCGTAATATGGAGTACTGCAATTATGGTGCGCAAGTAGTCATGTATTCTGTAATCTTTTCATGTTTAGAAAGCATCTGCAGGAAGCACAAAAACACTAATACTTAATGATAGAAAGTTAGAAACTGTCTAATCGGACATTTTACAAATTGATCTACAGCTTTATAACAAATTTTTTACCCAGCTTCATTGATAATCATCTTTTCTAATTAAACAAAACTCAAAAGATAGTGGTAGACAGGGTGGGGCATTTGCTTTATCATGTATAAAAGTCTGTACAATATGAGAACAAAATGCGTCTTTGGCTGTGCCATCATAAGGTGCATTGGCATGTTTTAAAACTCTGGCTAGGGTAGGCTGGGGCTCTTTGTACACCTAGAATTTTTGTTTTTATTTCCTTGACATATGTCCTTAAAGTCAGATAAAAACAAGTGAGCTCAAATGCAGCAAGCACTGAAATTCTGTCAAGCCACATATTAATAATGTATAGATGCCATAGACAAACTACATATATTAAAAAAAAAATGTTTAATATCAGCGGGGTACATCTATCTTTATTGCCAACAAATGACCGGGCTACAGCAAACAGGCACATTAATAAAAATAATAATAATTTTAAAAAGCCAACAAACAATATGCCCACACATTAAGAGTTGCAGCTTGAGAGGCCGATCATATTTACACATTCATAATCTCTGATGTTTAACATGATATTTACTTTAAAAAAAAAACAAGAAAGGTTCAGTATCGTTTTCACATGACTTGTCACAATACAACAGAGTTATACCTATACTTATATTACATATCTATACACATACATTCACGTATATATATATATATATATATATATATATATATATATATATATAGACATCCATCCATCCATATAAACTATCCTATTCATTTTAGGATTGCAAAAAAATTCCCTCATAATCTGACAAGATTAAATTAAATGCCACAAGCTCAAACACTGGACCACAAAGTAACTGTTGTGAACAAAGAAAAATAATCTTGTATGCATGATTTAAACAGATCTTTCTATTTCAGAATAATAATAATAATAAAACACCTTATACAAGTGCAATCTAGTTTGTACTTGGGCACATTAATATGAATTACAACAAATCACTTTCTTAACAACAAAAGAACTACGAAGACTCCAGGCAAAATAGTTTAGGTCGGGGAGGGGTAGAGGGTGGGGAAAGGCTATAACTACAAAGGGGAACACTTCAAGATATCCAAGATGTGAGGCCAAGCCACACACTTACACGCGAACATATTGCACATTCACACACTTAATGTACTCACGGATAGAAAAATCCACTGCTCAACCCCCCAAAAGCTGACTAAAAACACTTTGATCTGACCACTGTTCACACCCTAAGCTCGACGGTATCTTCAAAAACGTTCAGCGCACATTGGCTGTTCCCCTTCGCAACTGGTGCGCGACAATACCTTGAGCATATGTTTGTCCTCTCCACTGAGTGCCCAGACGGAATTGAAGCCATCAAAAATGTGAGTTTCTGGAAGAAAAGCAAAGAATACAACAATGAGTTTGCACAACCTGTAGCTACTTGCATTTTGATTACAAACTTGTTTCAGCTAACAGTCCCTCACAGCACCAATCTCAACCTCAAAGATTTTGTAAATATCTAAAACAAGGTTTAGGCAGTGCAAATGCAAAAGTACAGTGCACAGGCTATGTGGTGAAGGTTTGCATCAATCATTATCGTATCATTGAAATTCTACTGTAATAATATATTCAACACTGCCGCTGTCTCACCTAAGGCTGCCGATGTCTGGCGGCCCCATATAGCAACCAAACTGGGACTGTCAAGCTTGCTCCGCAGTTGCTGTTCTTGCATCAATTCCCAGTTTGCACCTGAAAATAATGGGTGTAAAAGTAGTAAGATTCTGCAGTTCTTTCTAATTTTAGCAAATAAGATCTTTGCTTGTTCAAAGCTTGAGTATGCATGCCGTGTGTGCGATTCCAGCGCCAACATTTCCGTTTATACCCTGGACTCTGTCCAAAATCAAGTTGTACGTTGCAGCCTTTCAGATTATGCACACACTCTGCTCACACAAGAAGGCGTTTCATCTTGACTTTTTCACAAAATTTATCACAATCCACAATTAGAGAAAAATTAAAATCATCTCAATCATCAACGAGATTTGACCATCAATAGAAAGCACATGTTTAATTCTGAATGCAAAATCAGTTTCGATTCCTTTACTCCCAGTACCTCAAATGACAAACAACCTGCCCACCTGTTGCCCAAGTGACCAATCTCACTGCGTTTAAAGCTGTGGTTGACTACTATGTATACACTTCACAGCCGCTTTTTTTTTCCCCTTGCTGTTCATGTATACAGTAACGTACTTTCTGCTAAAGCTACCGAAATAGATAAACACAGTAAAAGCTCGTTAATTCGAATTCCACGGGAACGCTGAGCAATTTCGAATTAAACAAAATTCAAAATAATGAAAGTGAGCAAAAATGGGTGGATTTCGGGGTGGGGGCACGAAAAATATTTATTGGCCAAAAAAGTCGGTGACCACCATCTGCTTCTTTTCTCTGAATGCCACAGCTGCGGCTCCCTGTTCCAGCGCGCGAACGGGGCGCAGGGAATCCTCTTCACCCTCTTCAAAGCTGAAGAAGAGACGCGCCACATTAAGTGCCTCCATCACCACAGAAGCTGACGGGCGCACAGGCACTTCCTCATTTTCGTCTTTTTCACCTTCTGGCTCTTCAGCATCAGGCTGCGCACCGGCTACTTGAGCGATAATGTCCTCATCAGTCAGGGCACCACACACCGATGCACCGGTGTCAACTTCAACATAATCGGCAAAACGTACGCCCCGAAGAGTGTCGCGCAATGCCGCTGGCATGAGCTTCTCAGCCCCATCCACGTCGACGTCACAACTATCCTGCGCACTTCCAGCTGCGAATCCACTGTGGCTGAAACAGTTTGCGATTGTGGTCACGGTCACCTTATCCAATGCGCGTACCAACATGTGCATGGCAGTGAGCAGCGTAATGCCGAAGTCCTTCCTGTCGCCCGCGTACAAAATCATTCTCTCCAGCACGTGACGCCTATAAAAGCCCTTACCGTATTTACTCGATTCTACCGCGCCCTCGATTGTAACGCGCACCCGATTTCCACCGCGGAAAAAAAAAAAAAAAAAAAAAAAGTAAGACATCGATTGCAACGCGCACCCATTTTTTCTCGCTGGCCCGCATGATCACACCACTTGAAAAAACGACTCCTTTCGGGAGCGTCTTCCATTTAAATATGAGGTACGGGCGAAGCTTGTGCCCATCTGACGTGTAACAGAGCATTGCCGTCACTGTAGTTTTACCGTGGACCGATGTCAGCACGCGAACTTGCTTCGCCCCCTTCTTCTCGACGGTTGTGGTGCCAGGCATGTCGAAGTAAAGAGGCGTCTGATCGGCATTCCCGATTTGCCCAAGCAGGTAGTCGTTGTTGCGCCGCAAGTTTAGGACGAACCTCTGAAAATAGAAGCTTTTCATCGTACACCTCCGCAAAACTTTTCGCATATGCATGTTCCCCTTCGAAGGGAAAAGCCTTTCCTCTTCATAAAGTTAGTTAGCCAGCACCTGTTCGCTTTAAACTGGCTCCGCATTAGACCTTTTTCTAAGACTAATTGCATAGCCCGCACTTGGAGCAGTTCTGCCGTCACGGGCCGCTGTGCTGCTCGCTGCTAAAGCACATACTCGCCGAACAGCTCTTTAATTTGCGGAAACCGACCCTGCTGTGGTCCACTGAAGCCTTTGAGTAAAGTTTTGCTGTCGAAAATCTTCTGCTTTTGTTTCCGCCGGTCCCGCACGCACGTTTCGGGAACTCCGAACGACCGCGATGCGGCCCGATTTCCGTCCGTTTCTGCACACGCGATGACTTTTCTTTTAAAAGCGGCATCGTGGTGCACTCGAGTTTTTGGAGTCTGCTATTCCACGCCGTCGATGCTAATGCACTACTAGATGACGAACTCCTCAGCACACGTACGAAGTGCCGCACATGAGAAACACATAGGCAGAAATGGACGACGCGCCATGCCGACGCACGTAGGGGGCGGCCATTTTAGATTTGCCGATGGCAATAGATTGGCCGTAATTTTTTTGTTCGTACTCGATTCTAACGCGCATGCGATTTATGAACTCGCTTAACCGGAAAAAAGGTGCGCGTTAGATTCGAGTAATTACGGTAACGTTCCTTATCACACCCTGGTCCATTGGCTGTAGGGCCGCAGTCGTATTTGCCGGAAGGAAAACCAACTTAGTTGCTCTCAGCTCAACGTCGACTTTGTGCGCCGAACAGTTGTCGACGAAAAGAAGAACGCGTCTGCCGCCCAGTTCCATTTGCCTGTCGAATTTCAGTAGCCACTTCCTGAATAGGTCACCTGTCATCCAGGCTTTCTAGTTTGCGGCGTACTCCGTCGGCAGTGAGCGAATGTTTTTGAAGCACCGTGGCTTGAGTGCTTTGCCAATCACAAAAAGGGGGACCTTTTCCGTATTGGTCATATTTGCGGCGACCAGAACAGTGACACGCTCTTTGCTGCGCTTGCCGCTGGCACAGCTGTCTCCCTTGTAGGCGATCGTCTTGTCTGGCTGCAACTTGAAAAATAACGCTGTCTCGTCAGCGTTAAACACATCCTGTAGTGAGTAGCTCTCCAAGTACTGCTGCAGGGTGCCGCTTCTCCAAGTAGCGCATGTTTCGGCGTTCACTTCCTTTGCCTTGCCGGATAACGAGCGGAATACGAGATTGTGCCGCTCCCTGAAACGATGAAACCATCCCTCGGAGGCGACAAAGTCTTCAATGTCCAAGCGCAGGGCGAAATCGGCTGCCTTGGCCACGATGATAGGGCCGCTCAATGCGATACTCTGGGCTCTCATTTCTTTAACCCAGATAATCAAAGCTGACTCCAGTTCCGGGAACTTTGCTGTCCTTAGCCTTTTTTGACTGGCGCCAAAATCCTCGGCTTCATAGGCGTTTTCAATGGCCGTCCTGTTGCGTATGTAGGTTGACAACGTGCTCGGAGGTATGCCGTGCTTCCTCGCAATTTCGTATTTGCTTGAGTTCCCTTGGTCAACCTTTCGCAAAATCTCCACCTTCTCCTTGACAGTCTTCGCGCAGTAGTTTCCCCGCGGCATCTTGCAACTTCGATGCGGAATAAGACGGCTTGACGGCGTGAACGAACAACGAGCTCAAGGAACAAAGTGACGCTGCCGGGAGCGGCCTAGGACTGCTAGGACTACTCCGCCGACTCTTCAGCGTCCCGTGGGTCCCACGTACAAGTGGCGCCAGGCGCTAAGATAGCGGGAGGGCTACGAAAAAAAAAAAAAAAAAAAAAAAGCTCCCTGGATTTTGGAGGCCATACTTTGCTCGCCCTTCGCTCGGAGGCCACTTGAAGCTCGAAAAAACTGGTCGTGCCACCTATCGTTCAACCGTAAAAGCTTCCACTAGTGTTTGACGATGATGACGCTCGGCGGCGCGCGCTTCGAATTATCCGTAGAGGCAGCAATTTCTGTTCGAATTAACGAATCGTTTTACACATGGTCTCCTATGCACTGCGGACCGGACTGCAGTGACCATTTCGAATTATCCAAAATTTCGAATTAATGAGGCGTGAATTAACGAGCTTTCACTATAAATGAATACATAAACACAGATAAACTTAATTTCAATCGTTTAGCTTTTAGAAATTATGATTTCATTAGTTTGATATCTGATGTTTCTTTAGCTTACAGCGAGCATTTCCCTTTAAATGTAAGGCACAAATACAAAAGCCGATAATTATACCTCCGCAATGCTTTTTTTTTTTTAAAGGAAGACGCCCACCACAACAGTGAGGACAGCAATAATACAGTGCCCAGGGGGGGCCTGGTTAAAAAGGTTGTCTTAACAGATTATCCCTATCCTTATCATCACATCAATTTATGTTGTGTCACTGTTGTATCATCACAGTGTACTTCAAGCACCAGGTGGTGTCACATAATCAATGGTGATAGGAACCTCTCCTATAGGCACCCATGCTCACAAACCCCCTGTTTAATGAGAGTACGAGTATAAGAATTGTTTTATTGTTTACTTGTATAAGAAATAACAGAATGGCTGGGATGAAAAACCGAGCCTCACAGAACTCAACACCCTTGTACACAGTAAATACAGCATGCATAGTTACACAATAAATCAATATGGACACACACACACACACACACACACACACACACACACACTCTCTATTTTGGTCTCTGCCAGTGGAAAGTTGTTTTTTCGATGTGTCTGTATACCATTTCACTAATCCTTATGCTTAATCAGCGCATAATCACGATCAACAGGCCCTTATGCTTATACACGAAATTCCCTTGCTCCTTCAGGTGTTACGTGCTTTTGTGTTGTGTGTTCAACCATGTCTAAAAAAAAGTTCACACAAAAGAAGAAACTCCTAGTTGACGAAGCTTACATTGTGCATTTTGCTGCTCACGCTCATGCAGTTCTATGATGTGGCGGCCATCCCAAGAAACCCGCTGCGCCTGCACCTGGGGACTGTTCTCAAGGGCCGGAAAGGCAGCGTAGTACCTTCAAAAAAGGCAAACAATGCCAATCAGTTTCCTGACCAAAAAATGTGCACTCTATGTGTGGTGGAACAACGGAAGGTATCACAAGCGCAATGTATGGTACATGTTCACTAAAAAAAGTATTTTTTCAAGAGAAATCGCTCTTGATTTTGCTATGTACTTACCCAGTCGCACTCCTTTCACAACTGTGAAAAAAAAAAAAACACTTGCAAAATTACCAGAAAAATTTTTAAAACCAGATCGGAAAACAGATTTTTGAATAAAAGGTACTCTCCTTATTACAGTACTCTCCAGTAAACCAAAATCTGTCAAATGGAACTACTGCTTAAACGGAACTATTGCCTCTACAATGCTTGGTTTCGAGCTTGTATACAGCACCCATGTTCACCTCTCAGTAAAAGGGAACTCCTGTTAAATGGAACATATTTTCCCGGTCCCTTCAGGTTCTGTTTACTGAGAGTCTACTGTATTTCGTTTCAGTGAGGATTCTTTTTTTTTTTATAAGTTACACACACAAGTTTGTAAGCTTCACTGCACGGCCATGGTGTCTCGCAAAAAAACATCTTGAGGGTTCAATAAACAATAAAAAACTGGAATACATAAATAAAACTAAAAAAATTGAACAGTGCAAATTTATTGATGCTACTGAGGTCTTACGATTTCATTAATTCTTGAAGCAGAAAAAATACCAATTCTGGAGCACTTTGGAGCAGGTAATTTTACATCTGGGAGCACTCTGGGGCACCTAACTTACCATCCTGGACTACAACGAAGAAGCAAGTTGCATTTACATTCAAAGACATTTTGGGCTCTTGTGAAGAGCTAGTAATATTTAGATTTATTGCAAATCTCATGCAGCAGCCAATCGTCTTAGGAGCACTCCCTATTTCATTAAACAATGAAAAATTAATGGCATCATGCTATTAAGCATTCTGGAACAACTCGTTCAACAATTGCATTCGTTACATATAAAAAGAATACTGCTTAAACAAAATTGTACTTTCTCAAACAACATACCAAGTACACTTATGTGGTTGTCAGCACACATGGTAGACAAATGCTGTGACAAACAATGCTAGAGACTCACACTGCCCCAACTGCATTTCCATAAGATGACTCCAAGAATAAAGAAAGGTTCTTTCTCAGCATGATCGATTATAATGCTAGGCATAACATCATGCAGTGGTGGAAATGCCTTCCAGCATTTCGAAGAAGCCATTGGAGCAGGCACGGGCTTTTCATGATGCACACAGAGGAACAAAATTTAACTTTAATTTAGTTTAATGTTCTCTCAATTTACTTGATCATTTATAGAGAAGAAGCATCAAGCCCACAAAATAAACAAAGGTAGGATTATGTACAAAAGCAGTGACATAAAATAGCGAAGGATATTACACCAACAAGCTAGCGGCAGGTTGAAGTTCATCACATGCACAGACGAACAGATTCAAAGCTCGCTACAGTAAAACATTGTTACTACGTACATGCATGGCAAGAACCTGCTGGGAACGCGACTAACTACGCACTGAACGTAGAATGCATTAACCACATAGAACATAAGCGTGCGCAGGGTTGGCCTTTGAAAAGGCAGAGGTTCGTCACAGCCACCCCCCCCCCCGCCTATATCATGTCAATGTGTCCCCCTTCCCTATTATCTCAATGTCTGGGATTTGGCTTTGCACCCCTATGACCAAGTACCAATCGCATTTCTTTAATGCCCTTTCATACCAAAAGAAGAAATAAATACAGTGCCACAGCAAATATTGCGACATTAATTTCTTTTTGACAATGTTCAGAAATGATTGGCATTCTCTCACGACCATCGATGGCACGCGGTGACGACACCAAAGAGCATTTCGATACTAGTGCGGTGTACGGGATATGCAGCGAGTGACATAGCAACGAAACAAACATAATTGGCAGTCTGTGATGAATGTGTACTGCTATCTGGCACTTAGAAAAACTGACTTTTTCATGATGCAATACGATCGCACGAAGCCGATCGCCTACTGGCTAGTTGCGAGCAGCGCTTCGCCTACTTGACGAACACATTGTGCTGAGCCGCTTGTGCACACTCTGCTTTGGACCGTCCACAGATGCAGTGAGAAGCCTATTGCGTTAACGTGATGATGCGAGCTTTCTACAAGGGAAGCTCTAGCAGTCCTGGCGGTGGAAGGAGGCACGTTTGGGCAGTCGCTTCATGAAAGCGTCTGCTATGCCTGTTGTCTAGGTCCCCGTGATCCACAACGCTCAATAACGAGCGGCTTTCCTTTTTGCAAAGCGGTGCACGCTGAACACAGTCCCGCTCAACGATTGAGGCAGCAGCGATCGGTGCCTCAGCGCTCTCAGGTATTCGCCGGTTAATAACCCTTTCAGACGTTATGTACAAACTTGTCTACACCACTCGTTTTTGTTACTTGCATCAAGTAGAGGCTAAGAAAGAGCAAGACATATCGTACATTAGATTAATTGAACATCTTGTATGATTAATTTGCCTTCATTTAACCTCACTTTACAGTGTACTGATACATATGATCACTTTTCTGAAGGCACTACCAAGCTTGACGAGTCGCGCGAACTGCGGCTTTCTGCAAGCAATGTGATAAGCAGAAATTTTCCTTGCTCACAATTGACATAACCAAAAAAATTTTCCACTATATTTCTAGCCTAAGATTAAATTCTATTATGCCAAAAGTAAGCATCAATGACTTCAGGATAAAGAGATATTTAATTGCAACTTAATACAAGTTACTCTGACACCCATAGATTCAACAATTATCTCGTAATTTTTGTTGCAATAATGCGTACCTTGAAGTAATGGTGTAGTGATTTGACACATTTACAGATATTTCTTAATAGTTAGCGTCTGAAAGGGTTAAAAGCGTGCAGTGGGCTTTAAGTGCCGCTAGCCTCACACATACGCTTTTTGTTGGCAATACACATACGCTTTTTGTTGGCAATAAGTCATACTAATGCGCTTTTCAGTGGTTGCCACATCGCTTGCATTGTTTGCCAATGGTAACCAAAAAAGGCGCCGCAGCTATTGGGCCGAGGTCAAAATAATTGATCGGTCGATTCCGTGTTTTTGCCGCAGCGCAAGTACAAGATGGCGACCATCACGTAATACCCGTTCACGATGCATGTTGTCAACATTACTTTCGGTTCAAAAAGCAGCTTGTGGCACAGAAATAGCGCAAACTAGACAAAGAAGACCCTTGTGGAGCAATACGGCGCAGCAATTTCCCATTGGCGCAATTGGCACAGGTTTTCCACCGCTGCAATATCTCTACTAGATTGCCAGAACTCAAAGGTTCTGCGATTGCACTGGCTATGGCTAGATATCGAAGGCCACGCATTCAAACTACAGCTAAACCTGCTTATAATGAACCTCCATGTAACGTATTCTTCGATATAACGAAGTTTTTCGATTCCCCGCCGTTGCTCCATAGAGCACATGTATTTTCAACCTCTATGTAACAAAGTAACAGTGGGAGACAACCTTGATATAACGAATTTTCCCCACAGACTGTCTAGGAATTTTGCTCCACATTTTCCCGTTTTGGTACAAAAGTTCATTTTCAGCGGCTGCCTCGCTGCCGACGAAGCGCGGCGGCGCCCGCGTACGGCGCACCCCACGAGCTGGTGTTGCCACCGTTCTTGGGCACATGCACAAGTGTGCCCCCCCCCCCTCTCAAAAAAAAAAAAAAAAAAAAAAAAAAAAAAAAAAAAAAAAAAAAAACCTTTGCGCATTGGCAGTGCCACGGTTTTAGTTTATGTCAAATATGTAGAGCCGCGTTGCCTATGGAGGGCGCCTTACCAAATAATTTTTTGCGGTATCCGTGTCCGTGTTGCTCGCTCTTCATTTTCGACGCCGTGCGCGTGGTGTGGCCCCAATGGCGTTCAGCTTTTTTTGTATATTATTGTCATAGCAATTATAAGGACAGTCTCCGCTGAATTTTTTTACTCGCCGCTGCTGTTATTCACCGTATATGTACACGTGTATATATACATACACACACGGCAAATCTTTTCACCCTCTTTTCTTTCTTCTCATTTACATTACAGTTGGTCTAATAACTTCCCCTAATACATTCCTCGGCAATAGTCTTTTAGATCTCAATAATATTGTGTCAAAACACGGGAAAACGAGCCCTTACCTATATATATATATGAGAACTCAAGAAAGAATGAAAAAAGCCGCCCGTGCTCGGTGCCCTGCAGCTTGTCACGATACGCCAATGCGCGCTTATCTCCCACGAATACTTTGCCCCGGGTGGGGGGAGGGGGGGGGGGGTTTAGATGCTTGTGCGCACTTATCCTTCAGTGGGAAAAATCGCGCACCTTCGACTTCAACCGAAACGATTGCGTTTAGTTTCTGGGAGCACAAAAATCTCTTTGCTTGCTGGGCAGGCGCTGTTTGCAAAAAGAGTGCACTTTTCAAACACAATGCAGTAACAACTGGGGCACTTGTTAGTTCGCACTCATATTTGCACCCGTGATTAGGTTTCATGTCTCGTTTTTGTTTAAACAGCGTGTTAAGTGTCAAGTGGTAAACGTTAGTTCGTTCTAGTCCTGTGTAAGTTGTTTCTGTACGTCATTCGTGCGTGAGCAGTGTGCAGAACGTTTCAATCTGCTTGCCGTTCTCAGCGTTACACTCCAAGTTGTTGCTATCGCATCCATTGCTTCACGCTTGCGGTTTTTCTTAATTTCGGATAACCGTGTTGTCACCACCGAGGGGATGTCAGATTAGGCGCTGATGGAAACTCTACATGACTACGGTGATGACAGATCTTCGGAGATCGGCTTGTAACGCGCTTACGTCTTGCGGTGCGCGCGCCGCGATTTCGAAGGCTGGTAGCTTCCGCGATCAGCCGATTAGTTATGGCAACATGATGGCGCGTTGGATGCAATGCTATGAACGCGATAGCAAAAAATTGTAATGTTATAAGAAGTAAGGCTGGCAGCCAACTCTTTTGGATCCGATATTGCGGAACTCTTACA